TCAAGAGGCTCTTTAAATTTTAAAACAAGTTAAATTAATTAAAATCAAATTGAATCCCCAGTGGCTGTCTCCAGATCCCAGAATTCCAGGGAGGAGAAGTTCCTGTTCCAGCCACAGGGTGGCGCATAGGCTTTGCACGAGGGCCCCAGAGGTCCCAGCAGCACGGTTGACCAGAGAAGCTGGCTGTTGACTGGAAATTCAAGGAAGGCCTCAGCAAATTTCAGAGAGGGTAAACCAAACAGGGAAACAGGAACGCCACGGCTCTGCTAAGCAGCGATGAGTTTTAGAAGACCTAGGCACCTTACATTGGGGGTTTCAGATGCTTAGGGAGGAATAGTTTCAAGGGAAAGTTAGGGAGGGCGCTGGTAGCCAGGAGGTGATCTGGTCTCAGATTTGTGCTGTGTTTCAAGAGACAAAGCTGAAACCAACTAGTTCTAACTTTACTGTTAAAATAATCATAACAGTGAGCAAATCTGTTTTTTTTTTTTTAATTCTTTAAAACTTCATGGAAGAAAAGATTGAATCTTGATTACATGCCATATTTTCCCCAAGGATTACATAGTAATCAGTGCACAACAGCAGTCTGATTAGTATTTGTGCTTGAATGAAAATAGCACTTGAAACACTAATGAAAAAGAAATAATGGAAAATGTATAATTTTAGTTGCCTCGGGCTGACCTAAGATGCAATTAAAAAAAAAAAGTCTAAATTTTGACCTAAGGTAGGCCTGGGTTCAAATCCATACTTAGCCACATATTTTGGCTTTGGACTCTGACGCCAGGCGACTCTGGACCAGCTTTGCACCAGCTGCCTGGTGACTCTGACCTGGTGACTGGCAATTCAGTGTTCACTGAGCTTTAAAATGAAGGCTAGGAACTTCCCAGGCAGTCCAGTGGTTAAGATTTCATCTTCCAAGGCAGGGAGTGTGGATTCAACCTGGGACTAAGATCCCACATGCTTTATGGCCAAAAATCCAAAATATAAAACAGAAACAATATTACAGCACATTCAATAAAGATTTTAAAATAGTCCATATCAAAAAAAAGACCTTAAAAAAAAGAATGATTGGAGGATGGAATAATGCTTCTAACTCAAGGTTGATGCAAAGATTAAGGAAAAGAAGAAGTAACACACTTAGCAGAGAGTAAGTGCTCAAGACTCCTTGTGCTTAGTCATTCAGTGTTGTCCAAGTCTCTGCCACCCCGTGGACTGTAGCCCACCAGGCTCCTCTGTCCATGGGGATTCTCTTGGCAAGAATACTGGAGTGGGTTGCCACGCCCTCCTCCAAGGGATCTTCCCAACCCAGGGATCGAACCTAGGTCTCCTGCTTTGCAGGCAGATTCTTTACCATCTGAGCCACCAGGGAAGCCCCAAGACTCGTTAACTACCTCCTTTGCAAAATTCTATCTGAGAAATGCATTCAATGGTGCTGAACAATCAATTTTGACTTTGAGGACAGAGCCATGCAAAATTGTTCTGTGACCTGAAAATAAATTTCCAGATGGTGGGAGCCGCTGTAGCATATGCTTGGGTCATCTGGCAAGTTCCCATCATGCCCCTGACACATGAGTGCCCCTTCCCTGCACCTCTAACAAGCCCTGGAAGTTGGATTCACATGTGTTTCAGAGTAAGTGTTCCCTGAGCACAGTGGAGTCGGGACAGTATGAAAAATCATGGTGTCCCATCAATTTGCTAAGCATTAACCTGACTCACACAAAGCTTCCTTTCATCTCAAGTCAGAGTGAGATGATCGGACCTGTCAAAAGTATAAATGCTGAGAGTCTGATATGAATAAAATATACTTTTGATGGCTTCCATCTCATAGGATATTACTTTCAAGAATTTAGAGGCTCCTGCATAATGTATCATCTTTCAAGTAGAAGTGATCACTAATAATATGGCTTTGTTATTTACTAACATTTATGCCCACCACAATTCTCTTATGTAAATAATATAACAGATTGTCCAACTACATATTTAATAGTTTGGGTATTTATTACTAATAACTGAGCATATATGACTTGATGCTCGGTGAGGAATGAAGATGAATGAAAAATCAGCCCAGTGAATGTCTTATGGATGGAACGTGCATTCGGTATTTCAGGAGAGATGTCCGGGCAAGATCAAGGCTGGATTTTCTTTTTCCAGAACAGAACTAAAAGACAAAGCTTTTTTTTTTTAATGGCTTGTTTAAGAGTCATAACCGGCTCTGAAATACACAGCGGCACTATTAGGACAAAATGTGGACTTCTGTTCATCAGTGCTATGTAGCTGCCATTCATTCATTCATTCATTCATTCAGGAAATGCTTATTTGTTATGAGTGAGGCACTAAGAGTATAATAATAGCCAAAACATATATAGTCACCAGGAAACACTGAACAAAATACTGGCACAACTGCAGTGAGGGTGCTGAAGAGGGTGTTCAGCGGGACGATGGAAGATCTTTTTAAGGAAGTGACAAGTGGGCTGAGATTTGAAGGGTGGCTGGAGATTAACTCATCAAAGGAATGTTTCAGGCCTGGGGCTGAACACAGTGTTCTTCATTTTTATGAGGGGGATGCAGACAGACTTGTTCAAGCTTTATATCCATCACTTATCAGCTCTGCTAGATTTTCTAATGTATGTGGCCTCTTCCACATCTGTAGAATAAGGAGCGTCGTTTCAGTCTTAAAGGACATGAGTTGGCTTTATAGAAAATAGGGTGTGTATTTTTGCCAAGTATCGTGCCTGGCACATAGTAGGTCATCAGTGTTGGTTTCTTAATTCTTTTTCTTCCTAACTTCTACTTACCTACCCCTCACGCCCCACTCCCCACCATCCTCCTTCACACCAGCTTCTCCCGAACATGTTCGAAGGGAGAGGATATGGATTTTTCTCCTAGCTCCGTTTTTCAGATTAACCTGAGAAAAGACTTGGTAACAAACAAAATTTCTTGGGATAAAGGAGAGAATTCACTGATGTGAATGACAATGCCTTTTGGAAGTTCACTTCCGCAGATGTGAATACACACTTTGTGTGATTGGTGATGGGGTCTGATGGCTGTGCTTCATTTCAGAGTAGGGGAGATCCATACCAAGCCAGAGGGAATTTTCTCATCAGCTGCTTTCTCCAGGACATCCATCACCTAAGTGGCTCTCACAGGCTTCCAAGGGGCTGGCAGAGGTGCCTAACCAGTGCCAGCCTGCAATCAGGGGTGCTGGGCGCCTGGTCCTTCCGTCTTTTCGGTCCAGCACTAGGTCTTCCCAGGTGGCGCTAGTGGTAAAGAACCTGCCTGCTAATGCAGGAGCATAATAAACTCAGATTCAGTCCCTGAGTCGAGAAGATCCCCTGGAGGAGAACACAGCAACCCATTCTAGTGTTCTTGCCTGGAGAATCCCATTGACAGAGGAGCTTGATGGCCTACAGTCTATGGGATTGCAAAGAGTTAGACACTACTGAAGTGACCTGGCATGCACGCACTAGGTCTTCTGCTTGCTGGCTGGAGTAAGATCATTCTCAGTGATAGCGTCGCAGTGATTCAGCATGATCAGATCTGCACACACCCATATCTCTGTGATGGACAGCAGGGTCACTTCCCCAAGCAGCCCCCCCCCACCCCAGCCTCTGAGATTGACATCTGAGGTCTCTACCCCTGACCACCCCCAGCCTACTCAGCTAGGCCAGGTGGACACCATTAAGCCTTCTGCTGAAGAACCCAGCAACACCCAAGCTGTGAAGAGAAGCTTGGAGGATGCTTTGGCGATGAGTCAGGCCCCCCACACATTCGAGAGAACCCAGAGCCCCCGAAAGAACCAAGTCTCCGAAAAGACAAAACACAGCAGAGTGACCCTGGGTTCTTCTGTCTTTGGTTTGATGGAGAAGGATATCGGCTGGCAGGAAGTCAAGTTCTGTAGAAAGAGATCCCTTCTCAGTTTCGAACTCAGCAAACCACAGCTTGTTGCGGAGCTGGAAGGCCTGCCTTTGACCTGAAAGGAGAGACAGAGGGCGCTTTGTGTGGCGCAGTGGTCAGGCTGGTCTCCAACCCCATGTAGGAAATTACATAGGAAATACATATAAATGTATATGGGAAATTATAAAGAACATACGTGCGTGCCTGTGTGCTAAGTCACTTCAGTTGTGTCCACCTCTTTGTGACCCCATGGACTGTAGCCCACCAGGCTCCTCTGTCCATGGGATTCTCCAGGCAAGAACACTGGAGTGGGTTGCCATGCCCTCATCTGGGGGATCTTCCCCACCCAGGGACTGAACCCACTCTCTTATGTCTCCTGCATTGGCAGGCGATTTTTTAGCACTAGCGCCACCTGGGAAGTCCATTGACTGTAATCAGCTTCGAAAATACTAATAAAAAAAAATAAAAAATAAAAAAAAGAAAATACTAATAAAAGCAAAGAATGGTATGGTTGTGACTTGTCCCAGGAGCTGTCTGAGGTTGATTTCCAGATTTCATCCTCACGACAGTCCACCCAGGTCGCTGATACTGCTATCCCCAAACTGTGGCTGAAGAAACTGAGAGAAGTTGGGTAATTTGCTGAAGGTCGCCAAGCAAGCACATAGGGGAGGTGGGAATGAAACCCAGGCTGGAACCCTCCTCTCCCCCGACCCCTGCCCTCATCCTAGGCCTGTGATGTGCAGGCAGAAGGGACAGTCGGGGGACCTGTGGACCCGGGGAGCCTGTGGAACGCAGAGGCAAAGTAGAAGAGAGGGTTCTGAATCAGACAAGGGGATTAAAGAGCTTTCAAAATAAAATCTATAAATAGCCCTCCTATAATAAGGCTTAAAAATAATTCCTGTTTTAACGCAGGTTTGTTTACGTGCGAATAGCGGCGAGAGAGAGGGGGCCCCCAGGTCCTCACGCTGTCCTCCGAGCCCCATCACGAGGAAGCGAGGAGGGAGACCTTGGGCTCGGTCTAGCGCCGTCCTTTTGGGCCAGCGTGCCCAGACAGCCCCAGGCGTCTCCGTCTTACTCTGTGCTCACGTCGCCCCACTATTGGTGCATCTTCACATGGCCTCCCCACCCACGTCGTACCCCTGGAATAGCAGCGGGAAGGCAAAGCTTGTCCCCTGCTCTCCCCAGCTGCGGGAGCCGGGAGCACCAGGCTGGAGCCACGGCTCCGGGAAGGCAGGCAGCTGCTGAAACCTCAGGCAGCTGACACCGCGGCTCAGCCCCGCCTCCAGAGGACTCCCCGTTCTTTCTGATCCGCAGCGGTCCAGGAGAAGGACCCGGAGAAGAGAGGGCGGGAACAAAGCCTCCCCAGAACCCCGGCCCTCCTCAGCCCACCCTGGCCTAAGGAAGCGTCAGAGAGAACGGTCCCTAGCCCTTCATAATGGCTTCAGAGATGCCCCAGAGCACAGTCACTGTGACGTGATGGACGGGCACTGCTATTTTAGCAGGCCAAGGTCATGGCCTTAGTTATAGGCGCTCTTCTGAAATTCAGCAAATATCATTGTTACCAGGCTACTCCCAGGAGACAGACAATTCCCATGGACAGCTAACAGAGAAGCACTTTTATTATAGGATTTTCTGCACAAAGATATAAAATGATTATCCCTCATCCTAATCCAGCTCCCCACCTGCATCTTTGCTGGGTCATGAGAACAGCCTTCTGCTTTGGGACTTCTTATTTTTATATATTACTAATTACACTGTCAGCAGATCCCCAAATGAACAGCGCCTGGGAACGTTCAGAGATTTACGACTAGCTTCCATTTAGCTTTCAAGAACGGAGATTCTTAACCACTGAAGACTGAGCTTAATCTTCTTCTGAAGTTCATCCCATGAAAAAATACAAGAATACACCCGCAGGGTTGCCATCAGCAATATTTACATTGCTAAACCCTAATTTCAAGAGAAAATAACAGTACTAGAAAAAAAAATCAATAAACGTACCCAGGTAGACTTTATTTTTGCAGAATTGCAGAAAGAAACATAAAACACAAATTCTCAAAATCGTACATAGCTGCAACAGTGATGGCGGTGATGTATGTGACACTGATTATTTTTTATATTTCAGCTGCAAGAAGCTGCCTGAACCCTCGGGTAAATGTATCAACCACCTCTGGGACAATAGCATAGGTGAGGAATCTAAGAAAGATATTTAAACTTGGGAATCTTCAGAACACAGATGGTATAGGCAGCAAAGAGGCTGGATAAGATCACTGGGTAAATCTGGATAAAACAGATTATACTCAGAGTCTCTTCCCATCTTCATTCTCATTGCTCTTTCAGAGGTTTTATAACATGTATTTATGACACATTCTGCAATTACATATGTCATTCACTTATTCCACAAAGATGCCTTCCATGGCATTCACATATTTAGTAGTCCCAATTCAGCCTTTATATGGAGCTTCCCAGGTGGTGCTAGTGGTAAAGAACCCGCCTGCCAATTCAGGAAACGCAAGAGACGTTGATTTGATCCCTAGGTTGGGAAGATTCCCTGGAGAAGGAAATGACAACCCATTCCAGTTTTCTTGCCAGGAAAATCCCAAGGACAGAGGAGCCTGGCAACCAGTCTTTACAAACATCCTAAAGGTCCGTATTATTTAGAAACGTGCCACTCTCCAGAGGCCTAGACATGAATCTTATATGTGTAGGAAAAAGGCACCGGGCAGCTGAGGAAACCTGGTTAATTCCTGCCTTTCTTGACCCACTTTGTCCTCAGGTCCTCGTACACCTTGACAGCTCTGGTTACGTCCGCCTTGGTAAAACCGCCCATTTCTGCCTTCCCAGTGTGCCTCCCCATGAATATTAATGTTCTTCTCCATTCAGCAGAAGATATTAAGAAGAGGTGGCAAAAATACACAGAAGAACTATACAAAAAAGATCTTCACGACCCAGATAATCATGATGGTGTGATCACTCACCTAGAGCCAGACATCCTGGAATGCAAAGTCAAGTGGGCCTTAGGAAGCATCACTATGAACAAAGCTAGTGAAGGTGATGGAATTCCAGTTGAGCTATTTCAAATCCTAAAAGATGATGCTGTGAAAGCGCTGCACTCAATATGCCAGCAAATCTGTAAAACTCAGCAGTGGCCACAGGACTGGAAAAGGTCAGTTTTAATTCCAATCCCAAAGAAAGGCAATGCCAAAGAATGTTCAAACTACCGCAAAATTACAGTCATCTCACATGCTAGTAAAGTGATACTTAAAATTCTCCAAGCCAGGCTTCAATAGTACATTAACAGAGAACTTCCAGATGTTCAAGCTGGATTTAGAAAAGGCAGAGGAACCAGGGATCAAATTGCCGATATCTGTTGGATTATTGAAAAAATCTGTTGGGTTATTGAAAAAGCAAGAGAGTTCCAGAAAAACATCTACTTCTGCTTTATTGACTATGCCAAGCCTTTGACTGTGTGGATCACAACAAACTGGAAAATTCTGAAAGAGATGGGAATACCAGACCATCTGACCTGCCTCCTGAGAAATCTGTATGCAGGTCAGGAAGCAGCAGTTAGAACTGGACATGGAACAACAGACTGGTTCCAAATAGGAAAAGGAGTACATCAAGGCTGTATAGTGTCACCCTGTTTATTTAACTTATATGCAGAGGACATCATGAGAAATGCTGGACTGGATGAAGGACAAGCTGGAATCAGGATTGCCAGGAGAAATATCAATACCTCAGATACGCAGATTACACCACCCTTATAGCAGAAAGTAAAGAAGAACTAAAGAGCCTCTTGATGAAAGTGAAAGAGGAGAGTGAAAAACTTGGCTTAAAAGTCAGCATTCAGAAAACTAAGATCATGGCATCTGATTTCATCACTTCGTGGCAAATAGATGGGGAAACAGTGAAAACAGTGACAGACTTTATTTTGGGGGGCTCCAAAATCACTGAGACATTACTTTGCCAGCAAAGGTCCGTCTAGTCAAGGTTATGGTTTGTCCGCTGGTCATGTATGGATGTGAGAGTTGGACTGTGAAGAAAGCTGAGCGCCAAAAAGTTGATGCTTTTGAACTGTGGTGTTGGAGAAGACTCTTGAGAGTCCCTTGGACTGCAAGGAGGTCCAACCAGTCCATCCTAAAGGAGATAAGTCCTGGATATTCATCGGAAGGACTGATGCTGAAGCTGAAACTCCAATACTTTGGCCACCTCATGCAAAGAGTTGACTCACTGGAAAAGACCCTGATGCTGGGAGGGATTGGGGGCAGGAGGAGAAGGGGACCACAGAGGATGAGATGACTGGATGGCATCATCGACTCAATAAACATGAGTTTGAGTAAACTCTGGGAGTTGATGATGGACAGGGAGGCCTGGCATGCTCCGATTTATGGGGTTGCCAAGAGTCGGACATGACTGAGTGACTGAACTTAGCTGAACTGTAAGTCACTGCAGATGGTGACTGCAGCCATGAAATTAAAATATGCTTAATCCTTGCAAGAAAAGTTATGACCAACCTAGACAGCATATTAAAAAGCGGAGACCTTACTTTGCCATCAAAGTTCCATCTTGTCAAAGCTCTGGTTTTTCCAATAGTCATGTATGGGTGTAAGAGTTGGACTATAAAGAAAGCTGAGAACTGAAGAATTGATGCTTTTGAACTGTGGTGTTGGAGAAGACTCTTGAGAGTCCCTTGGACTGCCAGGACATCCAATCAGTCCATCCTAAAGGAAATCAGTCCGGAGTGTTCATTGGAAGGACTAATGGTGAAGCTGAAACTCTAATCCTTTGGCCAACTGATGCGAAGAAATGACTCATTTGAAAAGACCCTAATGCTTGGAAAGATTGAAGCCAGGAGGACAAGAGGAAGACAGAGGATGAGATGACTGGATGGCATAACCAACTCAATGGACATGAGTTTGAGTAAACTCTGGGAGTTGGCAATGGAAAGGGAGGCCTGGTATATGCTTCAGTCCATGGGGTCGCAAAAAGTCCGACATGACTGAAAGACTAAACTGAACTCTATTCTGAGATAGGACAAATGGGAACCTTATTCTGGACCTCCACCATTTAGAAACGAAGCCAATTCCAAAATCCTTCACATCAGAGCACATATAATATTCAATATCCCCTAATAAACCATAGGGATTCCTCGGTGGCTCAGCAGGAAAGAATCAGCCTGGAGACCAGGGTTTGATCCCTAGGTTGGGAAGATCCCCTGGAGGAGGGCATGGCAACCCACTCCAGTACTCTTGCCTGGAGAACCCCCATGGACAGAGGAGTCTGTCAGGCTACGGCCCATGGTGTTGCAAAGAGTTGGACACACCTGAAGTGCCTGATGCGAAGAGCTGACTCATTTGAAAAGACCCTGATGCTGGGAAAGATTGAGGGCAGGACGAGAAGGGGACGACAGAGGATGGGATGGTTGGATGGCATCACCAACTCCATGGACATGAGTTTGAGTAAGCTCTGGGAGTTGGTGATGGACAAGGAGGCCTGGCATGCTGCTGTCCATGGGGTCGTGAAGAGTCAGACCATGACTGAGCGACTGAACTGAACTGAAGTGACTGAGCACATGAAAAGAATAAACCATAATGAAAAGAATATGAAAAAGAATATATGTGTGTGATTGAATCACTCTGCTGTACAACAGAAGCTAGCACAGCATTGTAAATCAACTATACTTCAACTAAAAATTATTTTTTAAAGTAAAAAAGAAAATTCCAATATTATCATATATAGACCTGGTTAGGTATTTTGTGAACTGGAAAGGTAAATATTTCACTTAATTTGTTCTCAAGTAACTCATACCTTTCCCTCAGATGGTAAAGAATCTGCCTGCAATGTGGGAGACATGAGTTCTATCCCTGGATCAGGAAGATCCCCTGAGAAGGACATGGCAACCCACTCCAGTATTCTTGCCTGGAGAATCCCATGGACAGAGGAGCCTGGTAGGCTACAGTCCATGGGGTCACAAAGAGTTGGACATTACTGAGTGCCTAAGTATCTAACAGTATCACTTTCAACTCATAATCTAATAGAAATAAGAACTATGAGTTCTGGCTCAGATGGTAAAGAATCCACCTGCAATGCAGGAGACCTGGGTGTGATCCCTGGGTCAGGAAGATCCCCTGGAGGAGGGCATAGAAACCCACTCCAGTCATCTTACCTGGAGCATTCCCATGCACAGAGGAGCCTAGTGGGCTATAGTCCATGGGGTGGCAAAGAGTCAGACACAACTGAGTGACTAAGCATAGTACATGAGCTCTTATAATACAACATGGAGAGTAAGGCAGGCCATTGGGAGGAGACCATCCTGGGTGCTTCTACTGATACATCCTCTCAGACCCTTGGACTGGACTGCTCTGGGCTGCCTCCTCCTCTGCGGAGGACCCTTCAGTGAAGTGTCTTTCCTGGGAGCCTAGGCAGAACCCACAACCAATAACTGACTGGCCTGAGGGTCCAAAGGCAGACTTCCTGCCTCAAGTCTGGACCAGCTCAGTGGTACAGTTCAGACCCCAAAACATCCTCTATGAGGAGGTCAGAGCTGGCCAGAAGTGGAGAACCATACCCATCCTTGGCTCCCCCTTGCGGATCCCATCTCCCTCCCTACACCCCTCTCTCCTGCTGGCCCTCCCTGAAGGAATCATTCACGTGCAGCTTAATCGCCACCCCAGCTTCTCTAAGGAATCTGACCAAAGATAGGCACAAGGAAAACATAAAGGGAGGTCTTACACGGACTCTGTATGATTTTAATACCTTTAGACCATGAAATTTTGGCACCTTGTTTAATGTCCCTGGATATATCCCAGTGTCTCCTGGTTTATAATCTTTGGAAACTTGAATAAAATTTGTATCCTGCTGTTGTGTGAAAATTTGGAGAAGGCAATGGCAACCCACTCCAGTACTCTTGCCTGGAAAATCCCATGGATGGAGGAGCCTGGCGGGCTGCAGTCCATGGGGTCGCTGGGAGTGGGACACGACTGAGCGACTTCACTTCCATTTTTCACTTTCATGCATTGGAGAAGGAAATGGCAACCCACTCCAGTGGTTTTGCCTGGAGAATCCCAGGGATGGGGGAGCCTGGTGGGCTGCTGTCGATGCAGTCGTACAGAGTCAGACATGACTGAAGCGACTTAGCAGCAGCAGCAGTTGTGTGAAAATTGTATAAATCTTAATTATCTGAAAAAAATGAAAAGTAAAAAAAAAAGATAAAAACAAGCAAAAAGAAAAAAGAGTTCTTGCAAAATATTTCTGTCCCTTAGATGAACCAGATATACTGGTGATCATGGAGGACATGGTATTTGGATTTTCTAAGATAAAAGAATGATTTACGTATGACTGAAGTATCCATGAGGCTTACCTTGTGTATGTCAATAACCAGAAGTACACTCCAGTCCCTCTAGAAAAGATGCCCATGTACATTTTAAGGCTAACAAAGTCAGATTCTGCATAACTCAGACCCAGAGAGATGTTGAATTCAAAAGAACATATTCTACACTTTGCTGTACCACTAAAACTAACAGAGCACAGTACCTAATAATACTTTAGCCAATAAACAAACACATTGAATGTTGGTGTGAGAATGTAGGTCCCTTACCCTTGATTTCAGATTTTTGTGTTTATCAGAAGGGGGTCATTTCCCCTCACTGATTGATTTTATGATACATAAATATAATGATATTAAACTTGTAAAATAAATTCAGATTAATACAAAAATCAAAAGACCAGGTTCTAAGGTCCAAAACGCTTTGACCATCACTTGCCTTTCACTTTGTTCCCACAAACTCTGTGAAGAACCCAAGCAGATCTGCAGCCACCTGCCCTTTCTCC